TGAACCAGTGACAAACAAGGTCACACCCCTGGGAACACACCTCCAGTGAGCCCAGCTCAGGGATGCACTGACTGGAAACAAGAAAAGTTAGAAACTGTCATAAATGTACACAGGTCAGAATGAGTATTGGTATTTTGGAATAATGTCCTAGAGCATATAGTCCTAGACTGGGATTTAAAAGAGGGCAAATAAGATAAGAGGTAAAAGACTGAAATATTTTCTGATCATTGGGGGAACTAAGCAAGAGAAAAGATGTAGCCACACTAGAAAAGTGTGGGATAAGTGGGCTAATTGACTTTAGTGGGTAAGGATATATAAAGAACTTTTTAAAGTCTGTTGGGATGTTTTTAACTGTAAGTCACAGAAGACTAAACTAAAATGGCTAATTTAAATAATAAGAAAAAAGCTTTCATCTGACGTGACAAAAAAATCCCAAGGTAGGGCAGATCCAGGGTTGTTAATCTACCCACTGAATGGTGTGTCATCAGGACTCTAATTTTACCATCTCTTCTGACATTCGGTATCTTCTTTGGCTGCTTACCTCATGGTTACAACATAGCTACTGTAATTGTAGTCACATGTAGATGGCACAACTCTGAAAGGTCTCTTCTTATTTGATGGGCAAACAAAAACAACAGAATAATAAAAGTGCTGAGCACATTTCCAGAAGCCCTCCAGTAACATCTCCTCCTGTCTTATTACAAAAAATTATGACGTAGGCAGGCATTGGTGGCCAGGTCTGTAATCCTAGCTACTTGGGATGATCACAGTTCAAGGCCAGTCTGGGCAAATAGTTTGTGATGCTCCATTTCCAAAAATAACCAGAGCAAAATGGACTAGAGGAGTGTCAGAGTGTCACCTAGCAAGCAAGAAGTCCTGAGTTCAAACCCTAGTTCCATAAAAAGAAAAGAGGAGAAAAAGAAAAAGAATTATGACATTTTCTGAGTCCTTAACCAGTCACTGACATGAGATACAGAAACATCAACTAGTTTGGGCCACTCAAGGCTTGTTTCTGGGGCAGAGGGGGGTGGAGCTTTCTCTGAGCACATGACTACCTAAAATCTTCATCAAAGCAGAAGTTCTCTGAGCACAGAACAAGGGAAGGACTGAATGGTGGGCAAAAAACAAGTTTGGAAAAATATGCCGCCTGGGGAGAATTTGAAGGTCCTTAAAAAGAGAAAAGATGTGTTCAATGAGGTGATCCTGGAGAGAATTCTGATGGTGGCCAAGAGAGCAATCCAAGAGTAGGAGGGAGGGACACCACTGGGCAGAAAATCAGACAAAATCAGTTCAGATCATGGAGATGTAAGAACTCTGGACTAGGTGGTGAGCTATTATCTGGGGGGTTGTCTGGCTTCTCAGTGGACCTGCAAGGCTTCAAAGGACACAGTCCTGCCTATCGCCAGCTCTACTTCCCACTACTTTTGGCTTCCTATTTCACACTTTTGTAGTATGAAAATTTTCTTCCAGGTGTTTGAGTCTCTGTTCATACTATTCCTTCAGTCAGGAATTCTTTTCCTGCATGCATGTTCCTGAATGACTCTTATTTCATTCTCGAAGAAGCAGCAGGGAACCTCATCTTCAGGAAGTCTAGCTGTAGCTCTCAGGTTGGCTCAGTGTCCCTCCTCTATGCTTGCGTGGTATTCTGTGCACTTCTGCATGTCATTGTATTGATCAGTTAGAAATTTCCTCCTTTATTTCTTTCATAGATGTTAATTGAGCAGTTACTCTATGGCCAGGGACAGAATAAAGTATAAAAATAAAACAAAGCCCTTCCTGTAAGGAAGGTGGTACTCTAGAGGGAGGGGATCAGACAATAAATGCGTGTGCAGTGAGCTCAGTAGTGAGATGTGCTAGGAAGAAAATAAGCTAAGGCAATGGGATGGAGGGATGTGGACTGAGCATTCCAATGCAACGGTCTGGGGAAAGCTTTATTAATGCGATGTTACCTGAACAGAAAAGTTAATAAAATGCTAGAGTGAGCCATTTGAGTACCTTTGGGAACATTCCAGAAGATGGACAGAAAGTGTGAAGACCCTGAGGTAAACATATTTGTCATGTTGAAGGAATGGAAAGAGTTGAGGTGGCTAACGCAGAGTGAGCTGGTGGGAGAGTTGTAGGAGGTAAGGTCAGAGAGGCAGCAAGGCAGGATTAGAGAGTCTTATTTGTCCTGGTGAGGACTTTGACTCCTTTGAGAGAAGGGGAACCCACTGAAGTCTTTGAGTAGAGAAGAACATAAGAACTACCTGATCTCTTTTTTTTTTTAAGATAGATTTTATTTTATTTATTTTTATTTCTTTTATTTTTATCATTTTTGTGTTTACTTACATGTACATACATTATTTGGGTCACATGTCCCCCTAGCCCCCCACCCTGCTTCTAGGCAGAACCTGTTCTTTCCTTTTCTCAGATTTTGTTGAATAGAAAACATAAGCGATAATAAGAAAGACATAGCATTTTTACTAGTTTGTGATAAAGATAGCTATACAGAGAGATTCCTAGCGTTGCTTCCCTGCATTTGTATATTGCAACAAACATTGGTTCGTCTCTACCAGACCTCTTCACTACTTCCCGGTCACCTTCCCATAGTGGCCTCTCTCAGTTTAAGATTATTTTATTCCCTCCTCTACAGTGAGCACATCAAGCTCATTCAAGTTTCAGGTTTCCCTCCCTTTCCCTATCCTCCTGTGTGTGTTCTCCCTTAGCGTGTGACCCATGTCCAATAATATTACTGCATTTGTTTTAGGTCTATAATCCACATATGAAGGAGAACATACAATTTTTGGCCTTCTGAGCCTGGCTAACTTTGCTTAAGATGATATTCTTTAGTTCCATCCATTTACTTGTGAATGACAAAATTTCATTATTCTTTGTGCCTGAGTAAAATTCTGTTGTGTATAAATACTACATTTTCTTAATCCATTTGTCAGTGGTGGGGCATCTTGGCTGTTTCCATAACTTGGCTATTGTAAATAGTGCTGCAATAAACATGGGTGTGCAGGTGCCTTTGTAATAACTTGAGTCACATCCCTTTGGGTATATCCCTAGGAGAGGTATTGCTGGATCATATGGCAGATCTGTGTTTAGTTTTTTAAGAAGCCTCCATATTCTTCTCCATAGTGATTGTACTAGCTTGCATTCCCACCAGCAGCGTAAGAGGGTTCCTTTTTCCCTGCATCCTCGCCAATATTTGTTGTTGGTAGTGTTCTAACAGGAGTGAGAAGGAAATACAAATCAAAACCACACTACTTGATCTTTTTAGATTCTAAAAGTTAGTTCTATTCTAACTTCAGTAGAAAACATCAAGGCAGAGAATACAGACTGAAGTAGTCAGCTGAGTGAGAAGACTGTTTCAATATTCCAGGGGAGGGAGGATGGTAGCTTTGACTCGGGTGATAAAACTGGAAAGCATAAGCAGTGGAAAGATAGTATTTTTGAAGTTTGAGAAAGCTGAATGTTTTCATATACTAAATGTGAATGAAAATGAGAAAATATTAAGGGATAATACAAAAATTTTTAACTAAAAAAGTTGAAAAATGAAACAACCATTTAGAGGTGAGGAATGTTGTGGGGGAGCAAAGTAGAGAGAGGAATTAGGGAACCAAAAATTTGTTTTAAAACTGAAATATTGATTAGACCTCAGCTGCATAAATTCAGTAGTGTGTTAGTCAGTTTTACTGTTGCTGTGACCAAACATCTGAGAAAACACACTTAAAGGAAGGAAAGGACTTATTTTGGGTCTCATTTCAGAGGATTCTGTCTAATATGGTGGGGAAGGGAAGGAATAATGGAACAGTTCACATTATGGTGGCCGGGAAGTAGACAGAATAGATATAGAAAGGGGCCAGGCCCTACCTCTTGAAGTTTCTTGACCCTCCCAAAATAGTAGAACCAGCTGGGGATCAAGCATCCAAGATATGAGATGTATGGGGCATTTCATATTTAGATCATAACAAGGAGCTAACAGTGTATTGGTGACACTTAAGGGAGGAGGTTGGGTGAGATCTTGGGGGTATGAATCTAAATGTAGTAGAGGCAGAGACTCAAGATCTAAACCCTGACATTGGCAATGGAGAAAGGTCCTGCACGTGAGATTGGGAAGGAGTAGCCCAAGAGGTAGGCTGAGAACCAAGAGAGACTGGACCCCTGGAAGTCAAAACAAGGAAGAACTTGATGGCATTAAGGTTTCTGGGGAATGAATACTTCATAAGGACAGAAGTACTCTTGATCATTTTTCTACGTACAACTCTACAATATTGGTGCTCAATAAATGTTTCTGAGACTGAATGGAATAAACTCTTCCTTCAATATGCTTTTATCCTAAGATAACACATATCCAGCATCATCTTTTCTTCTCTCAGATTTTCCTCTTCCATTTCTCAATTTTCTCTGACGATGTGGCTGTCAACCAGGGGTGAGGGCTTTGACCATTCTCTTGTGACATGACCTACAATTAGAATTGCCATACTTTCTTGGAAGGGTGCAGCTAATGAGGTCTCACAAAAGATAAAAAATGTGTCGACAATTTTACCTAAGCTTCCTTCTTGTTTGTGGATGAATGACCAGCAGGGTGCTCCCCGCGTCTGAGGCTGTGAAGATGGGTGGCATAGTAGGCTTCTTTGTCTGAACTTAGGTAGCTCAAGCATTTTTGTGTACAAATTCCAGGATGAGAAGAATCTTACCGTGTGAAAAGTAATTATATAAAGACCTAATTTTTCTGCTCTTTTGCTCCAGAACAATCACAGGTCATTCTTAAATGTATACAAGTGACAGTGAGAAAGTCTTGTCCTATTGAGTTGAAGGAAGAGTCAATCACCTATTCATTAGTATCTAAAACTGTGGTGAATCCCTCCACTAAATATTTACCAATTTCTAAGAAACTGTGACAAGTGTATATAATTTTTCATGAAACAGTGTGACACTGAAATTCATGAAATGCAGTAATTGAACTCTAGATTTATTAAGTGATACTCTGAGATCTCATCTCTTTCTATTCTCAGGTATAAAAATGGGCTCCCTGAGCACGGCAAACACTGAATTTTGCTTTGATGTGTTCAAAGAGCTGAGCTGTAACAATGTAGGAGATAACATCTTCTTTTCTCCACTGAGTCTTCTTTATGCTCTCAGTATGATCCTCCTCGGTGCCAGAGGAAACAGCGCAGAGCAAGTTAAAAAGGTAAGGAATGGCATAGCTACTCCCCAAATCCTGGAAGTCTTCCAAGTGCCCTATCTGGTCTGCCAAATCACACCCATCTTCATAAAAAGAAAACTACCATTTTGTGGAAGAAAGAAACACTTTTGAGCAAATCACATTTTTTAAGAAGGGAAAATGGTTTAAATAATATGATAGATTGTAATGCAAATAATGCAATACACAGTCTCTTCCTTACATCATGATATCACAAATAAATCTCTGTGGATCACTTTTAGAGTTCCTACTTTCAGTGATTTAAATTTGATAGAGAATATATGCATGGTACCATTTTTGCCCTATAGGAGTTTAAACTTATAATAAGATTTAATGACATTTTAGAAGTTACCAAGTTTTAAAAAATATTCATTATTACATTTCTTCACAACAACTCTGTGTTATGTATCCTCATTTTACAGATGGGGAAACTGAAATTTGGGGAAGAAGTGTGACTTTTCGGGTTACACAGACTAACATTAATTGTTTTTTCCATTCTATATATTTTTACGGCTGTACAACTTCTAGAAGAATAAAACTTAGTAACTCTTAAGATATTTGCTTTTCTTATTATTGTTAGTGCTCCAAAACCACGCAATGTCCTCCCTGGCCCCAGATATTAACTGCCCTAGTTAACGGCAGAAGAATAGAAAAGCGACAGAAGAGACCAATGACTAAGAGCTCAGCACGCAGAGCCTGACAAAAATGGTCCAGGTCACGGCACTTGGTCTTTTAGAGCTCAATTTCCCTAGCATCATGGGAATAAAATTATCTACTCATAAATTTGTTAGGTGAGTTAAAGAAAATGTGTAAAGATTTAATTCAGGACTTGACACATGACATTAATAGGTGTTAGCCATCACTATTTTGGTCTTGATGTAAATTGGAAAAATAAATACTTCTTGCTCTCACCTTTCATAGACCATGTATCACTTTTGATGTCAGTTGATCTCTTTTTCCTTTCCTAGGTGCTTCACTATAACCATATTGCAGAGTTCTTAAAACCAGAATTGAAGGACTCATCTCAGGTATGATCATGTCATTGCTGAGCTGTCAAGTGCTCTTTAACACGAGAGCATGAAGAAATCCTAGCCCGGGCTGGAGTGACAGAATGCCCTCTTTGACCCTTAATGATCTGGCTGTGCCTCCCTAGGTCTCCTCTTGATAATAAATACAGATAATAGAGTTTACCAAAATGATAATAATGATAAAACAATGGCAATAAACTCCCACAGACGTCATTAACTGATTCATTGCCATCTGTACTCAAACTGTTCTGGGCCTCTTGTAGAGACTGTCAACCTTATTGCCCTGAATACCCCACTAAGACCTTTTTGTTCATGAAAACTTTGAATTAGACTAGTAAGGACAAAATAAATGCATGCAATTCTGCACACCATCTGGAAACAAAGTCACAGAGTAGTAAAATTATTGTACTAAAGGACATCTAGAGAAAAAAATGCTTTAAACTTTCAGCTCTTTGCATTTACTGTCCTTTTATTCAAAGGCAAACATCTTGCTCTCTAGATTCTGTTTTCACGTTATTTTCGACCCTCTAAAGCCATTTAATATATCACTGTTTGTTTACTGGTGTTAGTGCAGCCAAGCTGGGAGGATGCATTCAGAGTTTGGAGTCCTGCTCTCTCAAATCAATCAACCACACTCTAATTATACCCTCAGCATTGCTAACAGACTCTATGGGACCAAGGCAATGGCATTCCACCAGGTAAGCATATCTGGCACCCTCTGAATTTCATACTATAAGATCAATCGACAGTGATGAGAGTTACATGGCATTTGTCTTTTGAATTTTAGCTGACTTAGAGTTTCAGAGAAATGGTTTTACCAAGACTCTCCTTCAGAGTTGTGAAATACTGCATAAAAATTCTTTACTTCTAAAAACCCTTGAAGCTTTCCAAGAGCCAAAATCAGATATGAAGCACAAAATAAAGTATGTAAGAATTACCCTAGGGACCGGAAGAAAGATGAAATACATCTCTCCTCATACCTTCTCCAAAGGCCTTCAGTGGCAGAGTATCAAGGGACAGTTGAAAGTACGTTGGATTAGGAGCCAAAAGATCTGAGTTCTGCTTCAATCTAGGCACATGACATCAGGCAATTCACTTCTCCAATCTTTCAGATAAAAGAATTAGACTAAATTATTTCTAGTTCCCAAATACAAACACTATTTACGCCTTTTTCCAATAGCATTGCAATATATAGTTTTATTGAGTGCTGTGTGCCAGTCGGTATACTTAGTATACAATAGGCATTATTTTATGTACCACAGAAGACTTTCTATTAGATCTTGGACAAATAAGCAAGTTGCTTAACTACTCTGATTACCTTTCTTTTTTCTTTTTTTTGAGTAAGAAAGAGTATAGTTTATTAGAATATAAAGATACTTTCGGAGGTGAAAGTGGGTCATCTCAGACAAAGATGTTGAGAACAACGATCACTTTCATATCAGCTCGAGCTTTTATTCAACTTTAAGGAACTTGGAGTTTCAAGTCTCTCCTCAGCTCCCTGGGACCAATCTACAGTGAATGATTGACATGAACATTGCAAGAGGATTACAAAAAGGAATCACTCTTTCCATGAAATTATCCATGACCACCTAAGAAAGTCCCTGGGGGGGGGGGGCGGAGAATTAAGACTACAGAGAGATTATAATGATATTGGTTACCAGTTTTCTTGTTTATAACATGAGACCAGTGCTCCTTTCTTTGCTTTGAAGAATGAAAATGTTCTCACTGTATTGCAATCTGTCATTTTGAACATTTTAGAACTAAGAAAAGCAATGATATGACAGAAGTAACAGGCAAATGTATCTGAACTTTTTTGGGGAAAGATTTTAGATTTTTGTTAAATTTATTAATTTTATTAAAAATAAGCAAAGATGGATTTTGACTGCATTCAAACTTCTATATATGAACTTTTTGTCTGTTAGGATTTTTTAATACATTGAGCTGTAAGCTGTTTTCTTTACCCTACCCTTGTGTTCTTCAATTGTCCTTTCTTTTACAGCGATATTTAAGGTGTTCTGAGAAACTGTACCAAGCCAGGCTGCAAAGTGTTGATTTTGAACAGTCTACAGAAGAAACAAGGAAAACTATTAATGCTTGGGTTAAAAGTAAAACTAATGGTAAGGCTAAGTGAAGCGCTTAGTAGTTTAAGATTCTTTCGCAGTTTGTTTTGTCCTTAGAGTATGTTCCATTGGAGATAAGCAGTCAGATTACCATGTGAAATGGCCCCTGTCTGTGTGGTTGTGCTAAAAACTCATCATCGTATCATTAGTTTCTGAAGTCTTGGAAGGTAGGCTGTCATTTTCCCTGATATGTGAAGGAATTGAATTTATTAAATAATCAATTAAAATTAGGATCAAGTAATATCAAACTACTGTTAGAGCTACAAGCATGTATGGATAGCATGTCAATAGTATAAAATAAATGCTTCTTAAGAGAGCACCATGCTTTCTTAAGTGCATCACATTATATCACCTAATGGTGATGAATTCTCAATAGTATCTCCTTTATTGATGACTGATAGATCTTATTCAAGCTTAGTAATGCCTGATCAGATTAAAATGTGTATGTGCTCAATTCTTTTTATTGTTAGAAAATCTTGTAAAAGTTTATCAATTGTTAAAATACTCTGATTTACTTAGCCAATATTGCAAAAAATATGTTTTATCTCATGTGCCAAATCTGAGCTACGGGGAGTGGCTGCTTGGAAACCTGTGTTGAGAAAAAGCCCGAGGCTTTACCTAAGGTTACCTGAAAAAGCCCACAATTGAGATGTTAACTTCCTGACATTAGAGCTTTTTGTCTGTTTAGTTTAGAGTGGTAGCCTCAATTTACTGCCATGTACCTAGAACAGTGCTTGACACATGCAAATCACTTAGAGATTTTTTAACATGGTTGGACAGTGTGCATGAGGGATCTGAATGCTGTGGATTTGTTTAGAATAATAATGTTAGTTTGTTATGCATTCATGTATTTATCTATTCATTCAGAAGTGTATTTTGATCGCTTATGTTAAGATTATTTTTATCACTTGCTAGTTACTGTGTTAGCCAGAAGTTTAATGAAAATTAAAGTCTTCATCAAGCGTAGAATCTGATGGTACAGATATCCCTATGTATCATACGGTATGGTAGATTACATTGTAAAAAAGATTTGGTAAATTGCTCTTTACTAAAATGCACCAAGATGACTGAGTGTTCAGTTTATTTACAAAGCAAGCAACCTTTGGTATTGTTATATAAATTCTTGATTTTTAAAATGAGCCTTCACTTTAGGTGTTATAGTGAATTTGTGATGCACTAATTCTAGTACATTGAAGGGATGAGTGAATATTTTTAATGCTTAACTTATTTGGGTGTAGTGAGGTGCTGTAAGTATAAAGCCTGATAAATAGTAAAGATAATCCACAAGAAATATTTAAGGATTTTCTAAAAGAAGTAATGGATAATAATGCACTGAATATAGCTAGGTGTACAATGATAAATTGGTTCCCCACTCATCTACTAGTTACTCCCCAGATGTTACCTTCTGACTAGAAATAACAGAGCATTTGTTACATTTGTTACACAAAGCATTTGTGTCCTTCCTTGATAGGGAGGACTCTATGACCAGGGATGGAGTTCTTCTGGCATCTCAAAGTTACGGTTACTTTGAAAAAATGGATATGAATTTCCTGTGACTATTGATTAGTTTATTATCAGTAAGTTCAAATCCAGATGTAATTATCTTTTTTTTGTTTTGTTTCAATACAAGGAAAAGTCACAAACCTCTTTGGAAAGGGCACAATTGACCCTTCCTCTGTAATGGTCCTGGTGAGTGCCATATATTTTAAAGGACAATGGCAAAATAAATTCCAGGAAAGAGAGACAGTGAAAGCCCCCTTTCAACTAAGTGTGGTAAGTATTTGATTTTTAGACTTCAGAAAAATTTTGGGGAATGCAATAGTCATTTAAGGACAGTTTAGAAAGATTTAGTGAAAATGTTGCTCAAGGTTGCTGTGGACCCTTAAATTGTGTTTTCAATGAGTTTTTGTGTTTCTCTTATTGACAGCAACCTTTCTCACACAGCATGTAGCTACAGCCTTTGGACACTGAACTCCCTTGGCAGAGAAGTCTCTTCTTTGTACATTCTTCTCATTCTTCTCATCTGTGGTAGTTATTTTCTCTAGTAGTCTCTAATTGGATTAAAAATAAAATCATCTTATTTTCATACATAAACCAGTTTTTGCTAGAAATTCTGGCTTTGTCAAATCACACATTTATATTATGTAATTTCTGGCTTGTTTTAAAACAAAAATTGGTATCCTGTAGAAAGGATAAATAAAAGGATATATTTTGTAGTTTACATTTTATCCCTGTCTTTAGAGTGCTAATACAGATATTCATGTTATATAAGAAATCAATATACACACATATCCACTCATACACAACTGTGATGTCCAATTAATAATCTTTTCTTTTAATAGGGTAAAACTGTAATGGTGGAAATGATGTATCAAGCTGGAATATTCAAATTGGGCTCAATCAAGAAGCCGCAGATGCAAGTTCTTGAGCTGCCCTATGTTAACAAGAAACTAAACATGATTATTCTTCTTCCAGTAGGCACAGAGAATCTAGACCAGGTAAAAATCTTGAGAAAGCCGACATGTGTGCACGTGCACACACAGACACACACAGAGACACACACACATATACACAGACACACACACAGACACACATACATGTACACACAGACACACACAGACACGCACACATACACAGACACACACACACAGACACACATACATGTACACAGAGACACACACACAGACACTCTTGCACACTCACTCTGTGTGTCCCATACCATCACTGGTTCATGGTCTGGAGTAGCGGTTTTGTCCTAGGAGCTGTAAAAGGAAGGGAATGTGATACCTGAGTGCAGGGCAATGTATTTAGGTACACAGGTTATCCCTGAAATAAAAAGGCACAGAGAGATAGAAGTGCCATATTGTACAAATACACATATTGGTCCTTTGACACCTGGAAGATGTCTTTTTATAATAATGAAATTATAATGGTGATTGGCTTCCTGGTCCACAGAAGTCTGTTTACACCATGTTACTCTGAGGGGCAGTGTTTCTGACACAGTTGGAGTACACTTTCATGGGTTAATCATTTTTTTGGGGGGTACTGGCGTTTGAACTCAGGGCTTCACACTTGCTAGGGAGACGCTCTACCTCTTGATTCATGTCTCCAGTTCTTTTTTACTTCAATCTTTTTCAGATAGGCTCTTGCATTTTTGTCTGGGGAAGGCCTTGGACCATGATCCTCCTACCTATTCCTCAGGAGTAGCTCGGACAACAGGCATGTGGCACCATGTCCAGCTTACTGGTTGAGATGGGGTCTTGGCAACTCTTTTGCTCAGGTTGACCTTGAACCATGATCCTTCTGATCTCTGCCTCCTAAGTAGCTAGAATTGCAGCATGCACCAGGCTAATCATTTTTAGTATCATAGTTTTGTGGAGGGAAATTAGTGCCACAATCATGAAGAAGGGGTCCTAGTGGTGGCAGGAGTTGAGGTCCATTCCTTTCTCCCTGGTTGCAGTCAAAGCCGGGACCTCCTGATAGTTTGTAGAATGACGATTTCGTAGGAGAAGAGCTGAGCCTTGGGGAACTGGCAGATGCTGGCTCACACGCCATGGGATGGCCCTAGTTGGGAGTTTTAAGTGAGCTGGTTTCTAAGCCAGGGAGTGTTGGGTTTAGGTAAAAGCAATGTTGCACAGGTGGGGAGGAAAGGGTGGAGAAAGCTTCCTGAAGGAGCTGGGCTGGGCTGTATGTGTTTGGATTAAGTGATCTGGGCACCAATCCAGAAGGAGTCACAGTAAGAGAAGCACAGCTGTGACCATGGGAACAGGTGTGCTTACAGGTGTTGCCAAGTAAGAGGGGATCTAGCCCCAGTGTGCCTGTGGCCAGCTGGGGTGCAAGCTGTTTGGAGTTATATGGAAGTTTGGAGTAGTTTAAGCTCTGAAGAAAGTCCTATGTAAGTACAAATGGTATAAATCAGTGAAGGTTTCCTAGAAGATACTCTTAACCTGAACCTCACCAGATAAGTAGAAGATGAACCCTGCTGCTCCTGACAGAGCAACGAACACCTGGAAGTGCCTTAGAGGTGTGAGGCAACCATATAGGTTTGTGTCATGAGGTCATGGTAATTTGGACTAGGGAAGAAAAGGAAAAAAGATGGTTTAGAAGAAAAACCACCTTTCTCTTATATAGGATTTCATATTGTTAGGGTAGGAAAGGGATGAGAAGTTTTAAACTTTGGGATTAGAATGATAGGATCAATACAGCATGGTGGCTTGGTGCCGTGGGGAGGGCTGGCTAGAGGGAATCAAATGCCCAAGGAGGATGTTGTAAGGGTTGACAAAAAGTAATGAACGTGGATAGAGAATGAGAAGTCAGGGTTGCTGAGGCTGCTTTGGGAAGCCTGAGCATAGGTGTGGGAGCTAAAATGCTAGGTAGGGGCATAAATGCAGGACAAGCACCCCAAGGTCGGCTCCAGGAGCAACATAACAGAGAGAATGACGGGCATGGGGGATTAAATACATTAAGAGTGGAACAAGGGCATCTGGCATAGGAGTAAATGTTTTAGGTGAGAGGACCGAGAAGAAATCTGTAGATTTGTCCAGGAAACAGGCATGCAGTGACTTCACAGACAATAAGTTGGGTAAAGCCTAAGTGCTAAGGAAATCAAGAATGCACATTGAATAGTTTAGTGATGAAATATAGATGAGAAGTAAATAGAGATGGGAAGCTGTAGCTAAATACAAAAATTTTTTTCCAGATATGTAGGATGTGACATGTTTTTTTTTTTCTTTTGTGCATTTTAATTACATAAAGTTACCCTATCCTTGTTCCACTCTCAGCAGAATTTTCTTTTTTTTTTAAATTCATTTATTCATATGTGCATACATACATTGTTTGGGCCATTTCTCCCCCCTACCCCCACCCTCTCCTTTTCCCCCCACCCCCTCTCGCTTCCAAGTAGAATCTGTTCTGCCCTTAATGACATGTTTTAAAGGTAGAAAAGAAAATGATGAAAATGAGCAATTCACATTGAGAATTTGAAAACAAACACATTTAATGCAAAGGTTGCATGTTTGTTCATTGAGTGCTCATCTGTGCTTTGCCTCTCAGATAGAGAAGCGGCTGAATCTGAGGACATTTCAGGAGTGGACCAGCTCTTCTAAACTGATGGAAAGAGACGTGGAAGTGCGTATCCCCCGATTCAAACTTGAAGTCAAGTACGAGCTAAATTCCCTGCTGAAATCCCTAGGGATGACAGATATCTTCAGTCAGACCAAAGCCAATCTCTCTGGAATGTCACCAGATAAAGGCCTTTATTTATCAAAGGTCATCCACAAGTCTTATGTGGATGTCAATGAAGAGGGCACTGAGGCAGCCGCAGCCACCGGGGAAAGTGTTGCTGTAAAGAGACTTCCCATCCGAGATCGGTTTGTGGCAGATCATCCCTTCCTGTTCTTGATAAAGGACATCACTACCAATCTGATTCTCTTCTTTGGCAAACTTGCCTCTCCATAGACAAAGGGGGCGGAGGAAGGCTCAGAGTCGCAGAGGAAGTGCAGGGGCAAACAGATGACTGTAATTCACATCTCACCTGTTTTGCTCATTTGCAAATGGTAATCATGGGAAAAGGTATATTTATACAAATGCTTTTCTGACTTCCTTATCTTTGAGACCTCACTTTCATGTGGTCCTGATGATATTATCAAGTCAATGAGGAAAAATTGAAAGGATAAGCTTCTCTTCACTTGTGTGTATCAGTGGTATCAGTGAAATCATGACTAAGGGACTGCTCTGCCTTCAGAGGAGTTTAATGGCTTCTATTTTGGTTCATTTTCTAAATATTATAAATTTCCTGGCATGTCTAAATATAATATTGTGAATTTTAGTTCAAAATTCTGTATTGACTATAATAAATGCATGCAATGTCTTAAACTTTGAAGATTTATAATATAATACAGTAATTAAATAACTCATAAAGGGAGATTTTTGAATGAGGGCAACTGTAATTCAGTAAATATTTTATTGGAATTTTTGGTCAAATCTTTGTTAGGTACCAAATATACATGCATGTGTTTATATATATAAATATATCCATATGTATACCTCCATATATCATATATGGAGAGAGAGACAGAGATAGAGACATTGACAGGTGTATGCACAGTCACTACACTAATTCAGAATCCTCCAGAATATGTACTATAGGTTGTGATTTTCTGGAGGGTTCTGACTAACACAATGCTTCTACAAGCTCCTGCCTCCACACTAAAGAGATCTAAGAACAAAAGGCCAGCCTCAGAAACCCCATAGCTCCTTCCCACCTCAGCTCTCAAGACTGGTTTACTCACAGTCTTTTGAGTCCTGACACATTGCCTGACATCCACGTTAGTGTTTTTGAAGGCACTAATGTTTTTGGTGGTACTGGGTTTTAACTCAGGGCCTTGTACTTGGTAAGCAGGTGGTCTACCACTTGTGCTATGCCTCTATAGCCCTTGAAGACCTCTCTACAGGAATCACCCTAGCTTTGACTCAAAATAATGGTTTCCATCTCCTTTCCCATTCCTTCAAGGGACCACATTCTGAGGCTCTTTAACTGTTGGAGGAAACGAGGTGAGTGCCACAAACCCCTCCCATCCTCCCATCCAGGATGCCTAATTGAGTTAGTCAGCTTTCCCTCATTATGACAAAATATCTGAGAAATTCAACTTAAAAGGAGGAAAGATTTATTTTGGCTCAGTGTATTAGAGGTTTTCGTCCGTGGTTGCTTGGCCCTGTTGTCTTTGGACCTGTGGGTAGGCAGAACATCATGGCAGGAATCACACAGTGGAAGAAGCTGCTCATTTCCTGGCAGCCAAAAAGTAGAGAGAGAGGGAAAAGACAGAGTCCCAATATCCCCTTTCTTCCAAGAGGCCCCACTGTCTAAAGATTCCGCTACCTTCCAGTAGCACCACATCCTGGTTGCCAAAAATGCCACACACGAGTGTTTGAGTGACATTTAAGATCCAAACCATAACAGTAGTGTACATGATACCTTGAGCTCCTGTGCAACACATGCCAGGTGTCATCTGGAAGGTCACAGCATTCCCTTGACAGACTTCATTATGTTATCATCTGGTACTTCAGGAAAACAGTAGATGCCAAGAAGCCATCCATATTTTCTACACCTGTCATTGTTTCATGTCTCCCTGGGAAGATATAGATACAGAGATATAGATGTGGAGATTGTGTGTGTGTGTGTGTTTGTGTGTGTAGCTGAAATGCAGAATCCCCTTTACCAGGGGACCTCTATCAATTTTCCCTTAAGACCAACAACTGATTGCATGAGGTCCATGCACATGAGGGAGGACAATCTGCTTCACTGAAGTGTGCTGATTCAAATGTTAGTCTTATGCAAAATATACCTTCACAGAAACATTCAGAGTAGTGCTTGTCCTTGGCCACCTATGTCTTGTGGCCGAGGCAAGGTAACTATAAAACTAGCCATCACAGGCACATGTACTTAATTCAAGATATTTTCATTTCACTCTTCCAAAGAGCTAACAGATATGTGCCTCTGGCAGGGTACATAATACAATAAACCAGTAAGGCTCATGGGATTTAATCACAAAAGCTGAACCTAACTGCAAGCCTGATTCATAGCTCAACTCTCACCTCCTCTTAGCTAGGCTAGAGGCTGGGTAACAGGATGATCTCTCTTTCTTCCTTCTTCTAGCCCTCATCTACCTGTTATTTCTGCACTCTTATTTTGGGGGGAAGGCTAGGGATTGAACCCAGGCACTAGGTCTATGCTCTACACTGAGTTATGTGCACTCCCAAGAAGGGGCAGGGGAGGGGTCAAGAGGATGGAACAGTTCTGATTTAGGAGCTAACATCACACTTTGGAGCCACCATTTCGCTCCTAGGAGCCATGATGGGTTCTCTGAACTCAGGGTCTCTTTGCTCCATCCTGTAGGCTGTGCCCTTCCAGCTGGTTAACATCTGGTCTGAGTGATGCACCCCACCACCCTAATAATTAAGTTCCCTTGCCTTTTTTGGGATGGTTACTTTTTCCTGCTTAAGGCTTATTGAATTTTTTGGAGTAGTTGGTTAATAGTTTCCTTTACTGTTTTAGAATGTTCTATTATTATTTCTTCAAATGTGTATTTACTTCCCTTCAAATTTTTTTTGACAACAGAGCCTGACCCTACTGAAACTTGGTTTGGGACATTTGTTAGGATGGAACAGGAATATGTCAACATCTAACCCGAGGGCCAAGTCCAGCCTACCTCCGGTTTTGTAAGGCCAGTGGGCACAACTAGGGAGGGATGGTTCTATGAGCCACTGACATCAGGCCTGGTGATCTCCTCTATGCTCCCAGTGCCTTCTTCTCTTCTGACACTGCACTGCATGGTGGACTCTCTTCCTCTGATTCACTGACTCACTGGAAACACCCATATCCTCCCAGAGAAACACCAGGATCTGGAGGTTATTTAACCGAGAGAGAAACTGACCTGGGAGGTCACACTCCCTCACTTGCCTATTTGGTCCAACTGGCATCCCTCTTAGACAGGTCATTCTTTACTCCCAAAATACCTCCAGGTGGTGGCAACTGGGATCAAAGCAATTTACCTCTCAAGATGTCTTACCTAAGGCAAACAGGAAAGACAAGGTAAGAGTTCATATAGGCACCTTTGCTTTATGGTCTGCACAGTCTACAATATTTACTATTTAACTCTTCACTTCACTTAAAATGGAGTTTTCAGGCCTCCATTTTAAGGCTACAACAGCCAACTTCTCAGACCTGGTCTTTCTGATGCTTTCCATGAATGTCTCTGTTGAATGCCCTTTCATGGTGATTGCTCCACTCCAGCTGGTTAGAATTCCAACATTTCTCAGATCTTTTCAACCTCTGTAATCTCCATTTGCCTTACAAGCTCCCAGTGGCTATTCTCTGCCAGGTCTAGCCTGGTGGAGCTTCTACATGGATGTGCACCTTAAGAGTTGGCCAAATACTCAAGGAAACCCACCCATTCACTTCAAGCCTCCTGGGTTCACTCTCTCTGCAGCTCCCTCCTCTCTAGTGCCCTGCCTGAGAATTATGATTTACAGTTCTGAATTCTAACTTCTAGTACTCTGCCAAGCAAGACCACCACTCTCTTATATGGATTTCACTTCTGGAGTTCCAAAGGAAGTAGAACTCCTTGGTGCAGGAGAATTCCTTCTCCCAAAGGATCATAGCCTTCTGTTTCCTGTGGCCCACTGGCTGAAGCAATTGCCTCCTGCACTCTTCCAGGTTTGCCTTTGTTTACCATAGGAGGGTAAGTATGACACTTGTTACTCTATGAGTGTCAGAACCAGAAGTCCAGGATCACCATAAATGACCCCTAGTTCCCATGCTAGGATCTGCCTCTAGTCCCCAGGAGTCCTGCCCCTTTGATAGCTCTTTGAGGTGAATGCAGTTACTTCCCAGATCCAGCATCTCTCTGCTCCATTTTAGTTTTCTTGGGCCAGATTCTCCCAGTAGCAGGAAACATATTCCATACCCTCCTGGCAGTCCTGGTGAAGGAACTCAAAGGACTTGGAGTGAGGAGGAGTCTACCTCCTTGAGGAGAATGGGCATGCCACTCCCCCCCCCGCCAGTACTCCTCTCTTCAAAGAAGTCTTCATAGATCTCCTTCTCAACCTCCATTCTTCTGATCTTTTTATTTCTATAATGCAAACAAGGTAATTCAAGAGTCGCATAGCCATATTTTGGAGTGTTTATGTGGCATTGCTTCTTTGGTCTGATGCCTCCTTTGGAAGGCAGTACTTAAAATTTCTTGGTGCTTCACCTGAACTTAATTTGGTATCCTGTTATAGTTGCTATCAGGTTGAATATTTTTGTTTTGTAGAAGTATATCAAAACTGTTGGTAAATGGGAAGTGGTGGCACATACCTGCAATCCCAGCACTTGGGAGGCTGAGACAGGAGGATCCCTAGTTTGAGGCCAGCCTGGTTTACAAAGTAAGACTCTGACTCAGGAAAACCAAACAAAACCAAAACAAAAACACTTTTGGTAATGACTCTATCTCATGTTGACTATAATCTCTTATTGGGAGTTATAGATGTCTCTGATGAAATAAATCTGTGAAATTAATGCAATATAGTGAATTAAATTATTTAAAAATATTGCAGAAAAACAATGGGAGTGAAAAAAATTAGGAAATTGCTTGTGTTTATAGATGCAACTGTTGTCTGAAGTCACACCTAAATTAAGTAAATAACTGAAAAAAAAAAAAGAAGACTCCTAATTGCTCTCATTTGTATTATCAAGTTAAAAGGAATTTGGAAAAAATTCAGAATAGTCACAAATATTGAAGCACAAAGTTGAGGAGGACCTGATTTCAAGACTTATCATAAAGCCATACCAATGAAGTTAGTGTGACACAGTTAAAAGAACTGACAAATAGGTCAATGGAACAAAGTCAAAAATAGACCCACACAAACAAAAGCAACAGATCTTTGATCAAAGGAGCATGATCAGTGTATTGGAACTCTGTTTTCTTTCTCAATTTTTCTGTAAGCATAAATACTGCTCCAGAAAAGTAAAGAGAAAAAATAAAAAGATGAGGAGGGCTTGAGGAGGTAGATCTACTTGATCCAGATTTCAAAAGACAAAAGTCTTTATTTCCTTTCTCAGATTTTCTTGAATACTATTTTGTTTTCATTTCTAATGTTTTTATTCCTTTTGGCACTTAAAACTTCTTCTGAGTTATCAGTTGTCTCTTTCTTCCTTCTTTTTTGCATAAACACTGAACCCCCAAGTCTATGTTTGATACATACGACGTCATAGCGTCTCAGAAAAATGGTTGCTTTCCTAACAGCCTTCATGTCACACTTTCAGTGGACAGAGAAGTGTGGCATTTCCCCATGGGGCCTAAACAGGATCAAAGCATGGTCTGG